ACTACTGGTTGCATCTGGGGTGCAGCATAAAACCAGGACAGGTAGTCACCAACTTGCCTTAGCCCCACAGCACTGCCAACCAAATTTAACAGGCTGGTGGGTCATGCTGACTGGAATCACAAGGGCACAAGGGTCCATTTTCAACTGAGCTTCTCAGTTGAAAACCAGACACCTGGCAACCCTAGTCCTGTTATCTCATACTTCTGTTCTCTTGGTGTAGGTGAATGGGCCTGATTTTTAAACTCCTTTCACCTTTTGAGAAGATTTACATATGTAAATGATAACTTGTTGAAATTATCCTTATTGGTGAAAAAATATGTATTACTTATATTCTGAATTTATTTAGCTTCAATTTCTAGCCATTGGATCTTGTTGTACCTTTGTCTGCTAGGGTGAAAAGCCTATTATTAAATGTCCTCTCCCCCACACATATATATGTATGGGCTAATAAAGTCACTCATCAATCTTTGTAATCTCAATAGACTGAGCTCTGTCACTGTAATCCAGCCAGACCAGCCTTCTTCTCCTCCCCCCCGCTAGTTAACCAGTTACCCCAGTAAGCATGCCAGTAAGGTGCAGGCTTACCAGGTAACTGGTTAACCCTTTACATCCCTAGGTGAGAATATAAGACCTGGTCTATGCTACACAATTTGTTGGAAAAAAGTCAGCTTTCATCAACAAAACTGTGGCATTGTACACACAGTTCCACCTGTGTAACTCCTCTGCTATGCTAACATAATAAAACTAACTTGATGAGAAGCATAGGACTTAAGTTGGTGTAGTTAGGTGATATATGTGTGTAGACACTAAGCTGGCTTTGGATCTTCACTCCAGACTGGGCTGCCACCAGGCTCCCAGCTTGGGCTGCCATCTGAAAACCACACACTCTGTTGAAAGCCCTTCTGCCCCTCAGGGTAGTGGCTCCCTGCTGGGAGCATGGCAGCTGACTGGTCTCCAGATGTAGATCTCCCTGCTGGAGAACAGAAACCTCAGGCCCACAGCTCTCTTCTGGGAGCTCAGAGTTGAATATAGTGTAGTGTAGACATAATCTCAGATAAGACAGCACAATGCAGGCTTTGGAGCAGGCTAGTGAACAGAATATGTACCCAAGATCCATACAAGTCTTACTTATCTTGACTGCACTGCACTGTTAGGGTGCATCTACACTGTACTGTTATTTCAGAATATTTAGCGTAATTCCAAAATAACAATGAGAGTATCTACACAGCCATTCCATTATTTTCAAAATAATATCGAAATAACGAGTGGCTTATTCCGACTTCTGTAAACCTCATTCCATGACGAATAACTCTTCTTCCGAAATAGCTATTTCAAAATAGTAGCAGTGGAACATCCACACTGAAGCTATTTTAAAATAGTTCCTCACCAGGGCCATTCTAAGTAATTTCTCTCCAGTGCTTCCTGGGGCTCTAAATAGAGATAGCACATCCATATTAGGGGAGCCTGCCTTGGACTAATTTTGAGGCATCTCTGTAGTGTGGATGCTCTATTTCGAAATAAGCTATTTCGGAATATATCTTCTGGAATAGCTTATTCCGAAATAAGCATGTAGTGTAGATGTACCCTTAGTATTCTCCATACTAGCTGAATGTAAACTAGATCAGGTAAAATAATATTGGCACAGTTCTCTTAGGAATATCCATATTTTGCCAGTTGTCCATGGAATGATGTTGGACTATATGACAGCCATTAGTTAGAATCACTCACACCTTTAATTCACTAATCTAGTAATTAAAAATTAAAATTACTACATAACTGCATAAAAGAAAAAAGATGGAAAAAATCCTGAAAAATTCTATATCCAAGTAAAAGAAAGCTTGTTATAGCTGCAAAGTGACATTAATATAATCATCTGTTGCATCAGGTACAAATCTGAGTGCTTAAAGTGTATATTTCTTCATAAAATCTAAACAACCACCCAAAATAAATATAATTCTTTCACAGTGATCGAAAAAACAAAAATGCAACATGCAGGTCTTGAGAAAAACATGCTGAGCTTCTCATGCAGAAGGTTATAAGACTTTTTTAACATGAACAAAACATTTTTCCCTAATCCTGCTCTTGAAAACGGCAGAACCATTTCTGCAGAAACTTTCCAAAAAATTTCAGCCTGGAAAAGTTCTGGGAGAACAATTTAGTTTGAGTAAGTTAAAGGCAACTTAAGAGGGTCTTTATAATAAGAAATCTGTGGCAAATTCAACTACAGACAATGCTACCAATTCTACATATAATAATTCAATATTGTTACACTTTCTATTCAATTTAAAAGCGAGAGAGAGAACATGCACTATTATAAATTCACCAAAAAACTTTCTGTGAGATAATGAATATCTGTCAAGTATGATGATGCTTGGTCCTGTCATAAGTGCAGGGAACCCCTCAAGGTCCCTTCCAGTTCTAGTATTCTATTATTCTATGAATTGATGATATTTTCCTTAAAACATCCCTCAAAAGATGGTATTTAGATACTGAGGTCAAGGTAAAAATTATATATGAAACTACAACAACTCTATGGATGAAAGTTAGAAGTTTTGTGTTATGATGACATTCTTTTCTATATATTTTTAAAATATACTGTTTGTTTGGCTCTAACACTTAATCATACATTTTACACTACCCATACACAATGTGGTAGGTAATGGAATGGCCCATACTCCCTCCTATTGGAAAATGTCCAAGAAGTGTCGAGGAGGAAATCTCAGTATGTAACCTCTCACAAAGCACTCCCTAGATCAGCCTGATGGAAAGCAGAGGCTAGCCATGTTAACAAGCACCAAAAGCTAGGTGGACCATTCTCAAACTTAGTGGATCCCAGAGACCCACGCAGATCTCTAGAGATCCACAGCAGCTCACCAGGGAGACTTTGTGCCCCAGCAGTACCCACCCCCAGTATCCTTCACAAAAGCAATGCTACTCCAACGCATAGCTGCATCAGGACTTTGTATGCATAATTATGGGTGCATAGCTGTTTGTATTTTATGAACAGTCTTTCTTGCGAGCACTTCCACAGTGTAGGTTTTCTAAAGAAATTACATAAATTGTATTAAAGTGTGGCCACTTAAACTGACCACTAACAAAAAAAATCTAAGTGTCATATTAATAAAAGAGGACTATTTTTTTACGAAAGTATCTGAATGTACCAGTCTACATGCCACCCTTATTATGATGACGACCAAGGAAGAATAACCTGATAAGAGTTGCTTATCAGCAAATTAACAAAAATAATTTTTTCTGCTAAGTAGTTATACTAAATTTTTTGCAAAAGTGGGGGGAAGGAGTGTGAGGTGAAGTGAGAGATTTTTGTTTAAAGGCTGATCTAAAAACACAAACTTGCACACATGTAATGGAAGATTTGACAAGTGCAAACCCTGCTTGTGGTATATATAGCTATACTGTATAAGATTAAAACTAAAAATGTAAATGGTTACGTCTTCTGTGTATAGACAAGCCCAAAGATTTAAGAAGAGTATCAGTTTTGATTTCAGAAGCAAACATGTTTTGATTGTTTGTATAACTGGCATGTACGAGAAGCAATGCATGCACCAACAAAAGAAAACCATCTAACCAGGGTAACATAATAGAGAGCTTGCCAAAGAACACTTTCCAGACAGAAAACAATTTGCTGAAAGAACAGCTTACATATAAAACACAAAAAATTATGCTTTGAATTTTAACAAAATGAAAAGTAACCTTGTACACAGAGATCCTATAGTCTCATACATCTTACTGATTAGGTAACATGTCACTGTATTATGCCCAGGGATTGAAATAAATGCTTCAATGGGGAACATTGCACAAAATCATTAACATTAAAACAGGGCTTTAAAATGATGTTCATTTTCATAATAATGAAACAACCACAATTGTTAAAGAAATCTTTCAAGCTTATAAGTATTGTACTTTGCTCACATGGCACTCCTGTCCACATATCCATCATGTCCCTTATTATACTACAATTTTGTATTATGTTAGCTATCATCAATAAAATAACCTTTAGTCTGCTCCACTTACACCAAATGCTTAAAAGAAACTAAATTTATGAATATTCTATCTCCAAACAAAGAACAGCAGTGTTTCATTTATTTTCTTTTGGAATTTCATTGATGGAATACTAATATAGTATGAATAACCATAGCTGTGGTTCTAATTCCATTCAAGTAAATTGAAAACGTTAAACACACTTCCTTTCCATATATCTGACATCCACAGAAATGTACTTTGTATGAAGTCATTGGACCAGAATATCAACTAGAATAAATCAGTGTGATACCACTGATTTTAATAATGTGAAACAATTTACACCAGCTGAGGATTTATATAATAATTTAATGATGGAACAAGAAAGCATCAAGAATACATACAATAGCTTTGCGCTCTATCCCACTGAAGTCAAGCACAGCTTTGCATTTTTTCCCTCGCTATGAGCTCATGGAACATTAACAACAGTCCTAGATTCTCAAGATGCACTATAAATAAAAAGTCTCTACAGCATACGCATGGGGGGGAAGGTGCAGGAATGTGAACGCTGCCTACAACTTCAACTTCAAAGCTGCCTATAACTTTATCACATTATAGGTTTACTCACAATGATCTGGCTGTAGTTAGTAAACCATGTTATCTTTCTGGCCAAGTAATGTAGTATTTATGTTGGCCGTGCTCAAAGAATTTGACTGACCCTTTCAATAAAAGCTTCTATAAAGATACACAGACTTAGGAGTAAAAAGAAAAAAAGAGAGAGACAGAGAAATTGGATGATTATTAAAGTAGAAAAATGGTTCAAGCATGATACTTAAGTTTACTTTGAAAAGATTTTAATTATAAAGCAGATGTGCTAGTCAAACATATTTCAGTGGCTATAAATGAAATGAAAACTCCAGGGAGTTGTCAACTTAGAAAAAGAAAACAAATCTTTATTTGAAATACTGATTATAGTAAAATCTTAGTATAAAATGCAAACAGTATAACAAGAAACAACATACCTGTTTGTCATTGGTCCTATGAAAGGGTTTGTGATCAGCTGCACAGTGGCTTTAGAAGCGAACAATAAACCAACTTGAACATTTTCATTTAGCAGGTCCTTGTCTTCTGTCAGGCAATCAGATGGTGTATTAGTTACATTTACCATCATTTGCTCTGTGTGAGTACCATACAAATCTCTCGATCTTGTCCTAGCAGAACGATTTCCAGTTTCCATTGTGGAGTTGTCATAATAGGAGAAGATGCTTTGAAAACTGGACATGGTTGAGGCAGCTCTCTCAGGTCTCATAGTCGGGGGTTCTGTTACATTTTTCTGGTGTTCAATGGTGTACAGGTAACTGGGAATTATTGGCACTGGAAATCAAACATAGTATGTAAGTAAGTTGACATCTGTTGTATATAAATACCATAATTTCATTAGCTATCACACTTTATTACAGGAAATATAATAGAAGAAATAAAAATAGGAGTTTGCTGAATAGAACAGAGATAAGTAGTTTGTTTTATAAGGGTTTGGGTTTTTTTGGTTTTTTGTTTTTGCTTTCAGAAAAGAATTGCAACAACAAAAGTTATGCCAGGGAAAAACACTGACTACACTGAATTATAATTAGGTAGTGCAGTTATGACCAATTTCTGTAAGTCTTTTCCATAAATATTCAGTTTATGTTCATTGGCATGAATGTAAGCTGTCTACACAAGTACTATTGAAGGGCAGAACATGTGAGGAAACCCCAAGACACTTTTTGTGCAGTCTTGTTGTGTGATGCTTTTACAAAGAACATTTACAGATCTAACAAGACATTTACACCAAAGGAAACTCCCAATAAAACATACTATGCTCAATAAATGTTGGTATAAATAACACTATTAAGAGGGAAATATTTTATATTTAATAGAGATCTAATATTGATGTTCATGCTTTTCACTGGTGGGCTTTTTAAGTTCACATAAAAGAATGTAATTTAAAAGTAACATTTAGTACATGTTTAAAGATATTAGATGTATCCTAACAGGATTAATATATAGTAAAGGAAATATTTTCAAAATAGTAAAAGCAGGTGAGATAGTAATTTTTAGTCAGGAAATATTAGTGAAAAAACTAACCATTATTAACTTGAATTGCCTCTTGCAAAAGTCAATCTATATATGGTTCTGAAATATATTTTTCTAGCAAACCTAAGATCTAACATCATTACTGAACAACCAATGAAATTAATATAAGAGAACATTTTTCCTTTAAAAAAAGAAATTACTTGCCAAAATATATATTATCCTTTCATTAGAAGCCATACTGTGCTGAACTCCCTAATGAAATCAATATGGAATTTAGTGTAAAACTGCCATCTCATAGCCCAAGGTGTCAAATCTGTACACTCCCTACATCTATGTTACGAGTTTGCTTGGCAAAAAATATGCAAATGAGGGACTCGGTTGCATGAGTTGCAATCTCATTTGCATATTTTCTGCGGATCCATTTTTGCACTAGGGTTTTTGCTCAAACACAAGCACTGTGGATGTTTTCTTTTTGTGAAAATCTTGCGGAAAAAAGGGGGTTTTGCTCAAAAAGAAAACGTCCACACTGCTTGTTTTTGCGCAAAAACAGATCGGCAGAAAATATGCAAATGAGATTGCAATTCATGCAACTGAGTTCCTCGTTTGCATATTTTTTGCAGAGAAAACTCATATTGTAGATGTAGCCCACGTGTACATATATATAATACAAGAACAAACTGATACTTTACGTTGGTTTGACTTTTTTAATTTGCATTTTTGAATACAAATGTACATTAATATGAGGACTTCTAAAACAACCAGTTAAAAATATTCAAGAAACTTGAACTCTAATCTCATTTTTAACTAAGTATTCTATCCACAAACGTGGTTATATCCTGTCTCTGTACCATAGATGTTTTGCTATTGATTTCAGTGATGCACAGTAGGGCCCATAATCTTTGTTCTGATCAAAGCTGATTTTACTAAATCTAGTTGTGTAAGTTATTTAAAATCTATCTAAAGAGCTTTCATATTAGTCTGAATAAATATTGTTTTGCCACGAAAATCATAAGAGCGATGACGATGGGGGCAAGTGCACAGGAACAATCATAGGGAAACATATTTCTTAAGTGTTATCTAGCCTATCATTTTGGCTTGCATGACCACAGAGGAAAGAAAATGCAGCACAGTTAAAAATACTTTAGAAAATGACAGATAATTTCTTTTGACTACTAATTGCTGAACTTTTTAGACAATTATCCTATATTTTTTTATAAATATAAACTGATGTATCTAGAATATTTCATATATAATTTGAAAAAATGTATTGCAGAGAATGTACTATTTGAAAGAAACACCAATCAAACTTGCAGAAGATGTACAGGACTGTTCAGTGCATCCACTGGAGAGGCTGTAGTGCTAGAGTAAATTGGAAAGAAAGGGCTCCACATACCCACTACAGTTAGCAGCATGTTGTCCAGAAGTAATGCAATGAAAACAATAAGCAGGATTAGTTTTCGGGACTGCCGACTCTCCCTGAACCAACTGAGAATATTGAATTCATTCCAAGCCATGGCACAGGCTCCCTCAGACAACGACTTGAACTGCAGACATATAAAGGAGAGTTAGGTAAATAGAGGAAAAGCTGTCTCCTTGTTGCTTTCCTGGCTCCTTAAGCTGGTGCAGGTTTGTTTCACCATTTCTAGCAACATGGGAATTTTGTAGACCACCATGTTTAGTTTATTTTCTACTCTCTAGGATGGGAGGGAGAGGCCTGGTTAGATCTCTACCCACAATCCTAGACAAGCCTGATGTTTCTCTCAAAATGATCAGTTAAATCCTGACTTCAAACTGTCATTATGTGTTGTAAATTGAAAGAGGATGAATCCCACCTCCCCCAGTATGTGGTGGAGGCTTACTCCTCTGTAGATTTACTCTTTACTGCATCAAAAAGATACTCAGCCCTTCACTCCCGCCTCGTGTCCTTTGCACCCCCAGCCATCGGTTCTGCACAGAGGAATCACAGCCATTCTGGTGTGGTTGGGACCCTCCCCACTAACAGCGGAGGTGTAGAGCAATTTCCTTCTCTCCACATGCAGACTCATCCCTGCATTGGGTCCGTGTTTACAACGACTTCAGAACCTTACGGGCCAGAAGCTTATTATTTTAAGGAAAGCTTAGATTCTGCAGGGACTAAGGGGACCATTTCACCGGTGCTGGTACATTGTACTCCAGTCACCGGACTCAATCTGCCCCCTGCCTGCTTACCTCCGAACAGATTGCGGCCGAGCTGTTCTCGAGAGCCCCACCTCAGGAGGATTAAGGCAGCACCTGGAGTGAATATGCAGTAAAATAAGAGCGTCAAACTGTCCGCTTTCCAACTCAGCCGCTCCCATTCACTCTGCTCTGGTGGCCGAGTAATAAATGGGAACCGGTCTTTTCAATCAGCGGCTCCAATGCTTTACTCTCCCCGGGAGAAGCTGCTACCAGCCGGAGCTCAGCTCACGGTTCGCTCTAGTTTCTGAACCACCAGGCAGCTGGGAGGTTGGAGCGAGGTTTGCACAAGATGTGCAAGTCTCAGCGAAGGACAACACACCCGTTGGCCAGGATTCAGTCTCTGCCCGCCACCACTGCCCCCCTCTTCTCCCCCC